AACTTGAAATACATGTATACTGTACCTTGTGAAAGATTACAGGGTTTGAATTCTTATTCTAGTCTGGTTGACCCCCCTTTTTCCCTATGTACATCATGTTACAATGTCATTATGGTGCTGGGGGTCAGATTGTGCAGTATTTTGCCTAAGATGTTTGAGTCCCCTTTTTCTGACCCCCACTTTGTTAACTGTGTTTTACTTCTTTCGTCATTTACTTTAATAAATGACATATTTCACTTCTACATGATGTTATTTGTTTTTGCCTGCTTTTAACAAAAAACAAGCTCAGTCGTTTGGCAGGAGAACTAAGGAACATAAAAACTTTTTTTTATGTTCATCCAGCAATAAAATTTAATTGCCTCGTTTTTCTCTTTAACATCGGGCTCGATGCTATATGATGTTCTAGAAGCTTCCATCAATATTAAGATCGGTGAATGGTGAATATAATTTGCATATTTCTCTTTTTAATTGGTTATCACAACTTATTTCTTTTACATCACTTAAATCAAGTTTTGATTGAATAATTCAGTGATGACGTTTTATGAAATAAATAAACGATTGCTTGTTGTTAGTTTCATTAAATATTGCCAGTAACTTAGATCCGCCAACCGGAAACGCCACCATACTCACGTTCTTGCTATTTCATGGCTGTTTATAGAAAATGAAAGTAGACTTTTAATTTAATGTACGATACTTACTATGCGAGTGAAATCTAAATATAGTTTACGGACATGTATCTAGTGTATTGTTAGAGGAGTAAGCAAGAACTCTGGTGCACCCGTTTCGGAGTTTATTTGCAAAATTTATTAATTTATAAGTATAGATACTGGTGACTCTCGATCACTCGAAGCGTACTGTACATCTTGGCAAACCAAAGGTTTTCCGCTTCGCTCCCTACAAACCCTTGGCAGATTACGCCACTAAAAGTGTGGAAGATACATTGTTTCTTCCAAACTAGACCCTATGAACCAATAAGAAGAAGGCTTTGATGTCACATTACGTCATTTATAAAAGCAACAGATGGACAATCTGTGTTCTTGTACACACATTAATTCTGTATTAACATATTATCATTTCTAGTCATCCGTTTATCTCCTGTAGTTCTCCAGTCTCTGTGTACATCTCCACTTCTTATTAAAATTAAGTGCGTCCAGAAGATGTCGATCGCTTAAGTCGGCCTATATCAGTCCATGATCCACGTCCATGGTATATTTATATAAATGTATATCTATGTATAGCTGGTGAAGTCAATAGAACAGAACTATGATATTAAACGATTGATTGATTGATTGTGTGTTGTTTTACGTCTCATTCGAGAATTTTTCACTTATATAGAGACGTCATCATATACCGGTGAAGAGCTTCAAATTTTGACCTTTACTCGGCACTCAGGGCCATTGAGCAGTGAGGGATCTTTATCGTGCCAACGGGGCCTCGGTTTTTAAAGTCTCATCCGAAGGATCTGCAACTTTCAGTTCAAAGTGCCGAGCGCATGGCGAAGGAACAGTTGCTACCCATTTTTTATGGACTTGGGTCAGTCGCGGCTGATTTTTAAACCGCTATTTGGTATCAGTGATAACATCCTTTAAAGGGAATATTGACGACTACCCTCGCTCATCTCGAAAATCTTAAGCAGAATTTAATTCTAATGAATCAATTTCGACTTCTTTATCAAAATTATCCCGAACTTTTTACGTAGACCTCTGACTTTTCCCTTAGTTCTATAACACTCGGAACTCGAGAGTTACACGCCAGGTGTCGTTTTTGCATCACTTCCGTAATTTCTACTTTGACATTTCCAAATCTTGTAGCATTTTTCACGTTTGACGATGAATACTCGGATTATTATGGAATGCCTGGGCAATTAAATAGCACGATTAAAGACAAAAATATCTACCGAAACAAGATATCATGACACATTTTGGTGACATGTATTAGGTAAATGATATTTCGGGCATGATATCCAAGAAAGGTCAAGTGTAAACAAATGGAAGTGACTTACCTTCTCTATTTTATAATACCGCGGGTACGATTTTTTAGTAAAACGTTAATTCTGCGTTATTCTTTGGATTTTTCTTATGGAATACATTGTAAATGTGTACTAGAGGAATAATTTATGAAAAGTATACATAAAAATATTTTTTGACCTGTGGGGTATATTCGGGGGGGGGGGGGGGGGTGTCCTGTCCACAAGTACCTGTGCACTAAGATACATAATTCTCTGTACCAGTTTCGGATTTCGATGAACAGTGTTGCCATGGTGATTGAAAATAGAAATTTTCTTGAAATACTTTCAAAACGCTACTCCTCCTACACTTTTTGTCTGATTTCAGTATAATGTGGCATACAAGTAGACTACAGAGATACATAGTTGGTGTTATTGTTTTTTGATTTTGTTGAATGATGTTGCCATGGTTACTTAAATCAAATTTTCTGTAAAATTGTTTTAAAAGGCTACTCCTCCTACAGTTTTAGTCTGATATAATAATAAATCTTGCCACAAAAGAGACTAAACCAAGGATCATTATTCTATTTATTGCTGTTGCAAAGTTTCAAGTCCAAGTGCTACTTTTATCTTCCTTTATAAATACAACTAGTAGAGCTACAGTCTCGTCAGAGACTTCTGGTCTTGCAATTAGGCTTGTACCCTTGTCCCTAAACACTAACAAAATGAATGGTCAAAGACATGATTCATTCTGTTAATTGTTCATGTGAACTGTTACATGTACAAGCAAGAACATATTAGGCAATTTTTGGTACACTAATGTGTAAAATTAATCTGAGATAATATATTAGTTTCTCTTTGGAAAATACGCCGACAAGAATCTTGCTCATTTTAAACAGTATTCAAATTTAAAACTTATCAGTAAATTGAATTACAAATATTTCAAAATTTCGTTGTACATTTTTTCACGATTTCCTCCTTTAATTTACGTTAAAATAGAGGCATACTTTTTTCTTCATAAAATTACATGTCGTGGTACCGTCACGGTAGCTCAGTCGGTAATGCGCGCTCAGTGATCGGAAGGTTGTGTGTTCGAATCACGGCTGCGACTGACCCAAGTCGATATAAAAAAAAATGGTAGCAACTGTATCTTCTCCAAGCGCTCGGTACTTTGAAGTGAAAGTTGCGGGTCTTTCGGATGAGACCTTAAAAACCTACTAGTAGGCTCCGTGTCACAGTAGGCTTTGGTACGATAAAAAAAACCCCAATGTTCAATGGTCCTGAGTGCCAGTAAAGGTTTAATTTTGAAGCCATTTACCGATATATGGTGACGTCTCTCTATGAGTGAAAAATTCTCAAATGGGAGGTAAAACAACATACAATCAATCATGTAGTGGTAGCCAAGTGGTAGGGCACTCGCTTCGTGATCGGGAAGTCTGTGTTCGATTAATTCTCACTCCCGGCGCCGCGTCAAACCCAAGACGTATAACAGGTAGTGACTGTTCCTCAGCTAAGAACCGACATAAAAATTGAAAGTCGCGAGTAATTCAGAAATGACCTACATAACATAGTTCAAAGTAGGCGTTGGCACGATAAAGAACCTTCAATGCTATAGACGTAGGTGCCGAGTAAGGTCCTAAATTTGAACCCATTCAATAGTATTTATGTTACACTGAGTGAAAAAATGTGCGAATACGTAAAAAAAGTTACTATCATTGTTTTCAAACATTATGTCTTTGATGCTGAAGGTTTATGCTTCATGTACAGTAAATGTAATGTCCATTTCTAGCATTATTCGCGCCACACAAGCAAGCATAAACACTTCCTACTCATTCTCAGATACAAGAAAACAACGCCTTCATCCAAGAATGGTATTCAGGATTGCAACATCACTACTTATTAATTTTTAATTAAAACTTATGAATTTGTTATCTGTTAACACAAATCATTTGTTTTTATAAACTATTGATTTATTACAAATAATTAACATGTAATTATTTCTAATTAATTTGCTAAAACAAATTTGTTTTTACCAATTATTGATTTGTCATTGCAAATTTATATATTAATTCTAGTTCAATTTCTCTACATGCTACATGAGGTACATATTAATCAAACTAAAAATTTTGAGTACAGTGAAGATAACGATCAGCGATCGATCTCAAAAAAATCTATATACAATACAGATCTGTGAAGAGGGCATAAAACATGGACCCCTGGAAATTCCAAAGGTGGGATCAGGTGTCTAGGAGGAGTAAGCATCCCCTATTGACCGGTCACATAGGCCGTAAGCCCTATGTATTGATCAGGTAGACTGAAGATTCCGCAGTCAAATTTAGTACAAAACAAAGACCTAACAATTGGTATGAAACGTGTCATCAAAAATACGACCAAATGATAAGTTATACATGTAGTTGCTAACATTGTCATTATAACGACCATAGACTGACTTTAAACGAGGTTGTTGAAATCCCATTAACAACAACTTATCTCTCGGTAGACTGTCTCGGTTTAAAAATTGATAGTACTCAGAGCATATTGTTTAATATCGAATAAGTTGGGAGATCCAAAACTAATTTGTACTTCAAATTAATAATTTGCTAGAACAAATGTATTAATTTGTACTTTCAAATTAATTCTTCTTGTTTTGTTTTGTTTTTTGGGGGTTTTGTTTTGTTTTACAAATTAATTTGTTATTTTTTTTTACCGGGGTAAATTTAAAAAAAGTCTACTAGTGCGACTTTTATAACCTTAAAAGTTTGTACTTTTATCAATATTATTTTTTCGAATAAAATGTTCAGGGGGATTCTGAGACACTTTATGAAATTAACAATGCTCCCTAAAGTAAAAGCATATATGTACTGTATTATATTAAAACCAAATCTGGTTAAATGTATTTATGATATTATGTTAGTATTAAATGTATAAGGGTCTTTACCAAATTTAAAATAGACAAACGCTCTGCTTAGTCGTGTTTTAGAAACTCTGTATGCGGTGTCATTTAATTAAAATATTTCATATTCTGAACTGACATTTTATTAGAACTCCATGACAAAACAATACAAAAAATATAATTTTATCAGACCGTGATACAAGTAAATTTCTATTCAAAACCATTTTGCGCCGCACAAACCGAAAACATAGTTTTGCTTTTACATGAATACACATTTTTGTCAACATTTCTCGCTGGGTATCAAATTAAAACTCTACATACATACATTTGTAAAATGAATTAATCTCAAGATATACAAGCAATACTACTGACTCCATTATAACTCAGTTTTTTGGTTTACTATTTTCACTTTTCTTTGAAATTCCCGAGAGCAGGACCTTCTCCAGCCCCATGAAAGGTGACTCGAAAGATAACGAGAAAATAAACGCAACTCCATAGGACATCACGAGGTTTGCCAAGAACTTGTAAATCTGTAACAGAACAAAAAGACATTTTCTTCCAGCATTTTGTAAAACAACCTCAGTCTTGCATGATTAGAGCATTAATTATTTCTCCTATGCACTACAACTATAGTATAATAATCTTTTTGTTTAATACAAACTCGTTTTCATTATATGTTCCACGATCATTTTCCTCATATACATCGTACATAATAACAACATGAACGAATCCCACTGCGGGACGAGGTAACTGATCCTTCGGATAAGACCAGATAAACTGAGGTCCCGTGTAGCAGTAGGTGCTGGCACGAAAAAGATCCCTCACTGCTCAATGGCCCTAAGTGCCGAGTATAGGTCTAAAATGTGCAGCCCTCCACGGGCAATGATGGCGTTCCAAGATGTGTGAAAAATTCTCGAGAGGGACGTCAAACAGACAATCAAACAAAATGAATGATAAACTACATAATAACCTTCTTCTAAGTTCAGTGACGAAGATTACAAACATAAATAATTATAATAGTAAACCACTCACGAGGTCAATATCACTTAGATAGACTGTTTGTGGGTGACTCCCGTTGTATGCATAAATTATCAGTGGGTGTACGAGGTAGGCGCAGTATGTCAATCTGGACAAAGGCACCAAAACTTTCCACGACAGGATAGTGTTTATTGGCCCTGGTAACGCAATGTACATATAAATATTATGAAATTATACATGTATAGTTATTACTGAAGTTCTTCAGATTTTCTATATAATTTTACTCAAAATTTAAATAATGAATCAAAGGTGGTATAATTTATTCGTTTGAATTTTTGTTGATAATTAACGAATTAAAAACAATAAAAATTGTACAATTTAACTAGGTCAGGAAAATTCACTACGAGTTCATTTAGATATGTTACCTTTGAGTGACGGCAAGTGGACCTTAGATTCATTATAATAAAATGAGATTCTCAGATGAAAATCTAAGGTAAAGGATACCTTTAGTAAAGGGTAATTTGCTAAAGAAACATGTTTTCCCTGAAGTAGGTAGATTTTTATGCATGCAAATTTAGCAATTACTGATTTTTAGCTCACCCGGAATGATTTGAATTATTTAGAATCTACACTTCCCCAGGATACGTCCAAAAAAGTTGCAGCTTTTCTGGCCCAGTGGTTCTTCAGTAGAGTTTTAATGATCCCACCCTATTTTTGTCTTTTCTTGATTATCTCCCCTTATTGTGGGGGGGGGGGGGGCTACGTCCTTTATTTTAACAATTTAAACTCCCTTTTATCCAAGAATGCTTCGTACGAATTTTGGTTAAAATTGGCCCAGTGGTTCTTGAGAAAAATTGAAAATGTGAAAAAGTTACAGATGTACGGACAGACGGACACCGAACAACGGTGATTAGAAAAACTCACTTGAACTTTCAGCTCAGGTGAGCTAAGAAAGTATTCGGCGTCCGTCTGTGCGTTATCTCAAACCTCACATTTTTGAGTAGCTCGCGTGGCGCAGTGGTTAGCGCGTTCGCTCTAGAGTCGCGGAGTAAGGAGTTGATCCTTACGTTGCGGGTTCGAATCCCACTGTGGGACGTGGAGACAGGTCCTTCGGATGAGACCGTATAAACCGAGGTCCCGTGTCACAGTAGGTGCTGGCACGAAAAAGATCCCTCACTGCTCAATGGCCCTAAGTGCCGAGTATAGGACAAAATTTGCAGCTCTCTACCGGCAAGTGGTGGCGTCTCCATACGAGTGAAAAATTCTCGAGAGGGACGTTAAACAACAAACAAACAAACACATTTTTGACTTCTTCGAAGCCACTGGGTTCCACCAAACTTGCCACAAAGCATTCTTAAGTAAAGGGAAATTTTCTTTAACAGGAAAACCACGCCCTCTTTCAAGAGGAGCTTATGAAGAATTCATGAAAATTTGGTGGCATCTTTTAAAAAATCCTCTTAAAAACTTGCGTGAAAATTTTGTTATTATAGATTCAAAATATTATAGATTCAAGTTTGTTCATACTCCGGGGTAGCATGAGGCCACAACAGGGGGTCAAAGTTATACAAACATGTAGGAATATATAGGACAAATCTTCTCCGGAACAGGAAAGCCATTATTAGTTATATTTAAAAGCTGACATGAATTCTTAAAACGCAACATTTTCATCTATGTACAACTTGTTTTATACCAACTAGCCGTATTCCGCTATATTTCTTTCAGATACCTTATCTTATTGTTACGATATAAACCCCAATGCGATCATGTAAATAATTTTTGGTTTGGCTATCGACTACTGCACATCTCATTAGTACATGTAAAGTATTTGAAAACACATGAATTAATCAAAACGCTTCAAACCATGCACACTGTATAGATATAACAGATATAAACTGTCATAAAGACATTTATGAATAAGTATTGATTCTAATTATATAAATGGAAGTGGAAAAAAAAAACAAGGGTTGCCCGTTTTGTCCAATCCAATCACGCAAAGGCCTGTGAGATTTCCCTTTGATATTTTCACGAATCCCCCAAAAAGCTGATTGGCATGGACCCCGTATGTCCAAGTGCTATGTAGTAACAATGTGTTTACCGTTGAGTTACAAATAGAATTTATTACTTCTGTGATGAATATTTCAATAAAAAAAATAGGATATATTTCGGTCGACATGTGCACATCCCTGTACCGATGGCAGCATTTCGGGTAGATGAGTTTACAGCGTTAGACGCGGGTTTTTTTTTTTTTTGGCATGTATATACATGTATCTGAATTTGCTGTGGATGAATGCATAATATGTGCATACACTGTCTATCAATTATATAGCTTTATCATGCTTATAGTTCTAATAGTACAATAGTATAATTCAAAAACTTGCAATGGGTAGGCTTTTCCTGTTCATTATTCAGATATTTACATGTGTGTGCATCAAACATGTTGCCCCGTTTTGATTTTGTACTTTGCATCTAAATTATTCAAGAAGGATTTACTTCTAACTATTCCTAGTATTGGTTGGATTTTTATTTAAACAACATGTTTTCGATCAGAACCTGCTGTACTCCAAAATATATGTATATGTCGACAGTCAGGCCAGAAAATCAGTCAAGTGTAACAGTATGATAAGGCAGGTTATCAGCAAGGCATATGGGGGAATCTAGCAAAAACATGGCGAAAAAGGCACGCAGGTATGAAATAAGTCGTACAAGGATACAAAAATGCTTATTTAAGAGTAAATATCAGCTTAAATAAAGAAGCATCCTCAAGAACTGTAGATTTACATGGAAGTGTGTTCAAATCATGACCCCTTCCCCGGGGGGAGGCTTGGGCCCATAATGATTAAAGTTTTTGCTAAAATATGTAAGAAAAAGAATCTGCTGGAGAAGAAAGGCCATAGTTTCTCAGGTAAGCATTGTGGCCCATGGGCCCCTTGTCCTGCTTACACTTTAAAGGCTTTAAAAGTAGAAGAAAATGAATAAATTATTTTTCACAATTCATACTACTTATGCATTTTACTGTGGCAATAAAATAATTATAAAAAAGATACACAACACTTCGAAGATTCACGCGGCACACCTCGGCCGATTCGTATCTCAACTTACCTCGGCTGTATCACGTAAACCACCGGGGCTACTTTATAGACAACATGGCTTCGCCCCGTATATTACACGTGCACAGTGATAGATTGTTATATTTTTTATAAATTTTAATGCACATATGTTCATACCTCCATTTCCGGTTGCGCATGCAAAAATAACCCAGCAAACAGCAGCACCCCAAACAGTTCTGCTTAAAGCATTATATAGAGACGAAACTTCATTAGATAAAGGATGTCCGTTAAAAGCGTCGTAAAGTCCGTACAGTGCTGCTGATGCGCATGCTGTGGCCACTCCCCAAATTCCTAGATTTACAAACTGAAAACAAAATGTATACAGATCCATCGTTAAAGATTGTATTTATACCAGTAAAGCCATTAAAATTTTCCGTTTTTTTTATTAACTTATTTTTATTGTTATTATTTTATGTGAATTTACAAAATTGTTTTTATTTTTGGCAAAATGAATTTCAGTACTTACGATATTAATATGGCATTTATTCTTAAATTTGTACAATAGGTATCCGGTAAATATACCACAAATGTAGGGACCCATTCTACAGTATGGTTTAATGTAGTAGTCCTTGAATACATCACCACTGAAAAAAAAATCTTACAGAATGAATTTTATGATACCAAGACCCAGTATTGTCAATATGTTCAGGACAGCCTAGGAAATAAATACAAAAACGTGTTTTAAATTCCAGTGTCTTTTGACGACTACAAAACTGATGCTTAGAAATAAGCATTTTTTACAAGTTATAAAATAAGTAAGAACAATTGAAAAATAAATCCTTTTACACGCCTGAGGCTTGAAAACAGATAACCATAGTCTAAAATAAATACATCTTTTATTCACATGCCCAAACTTAAAACAATAGATATTGAAAGCAACTCAAAGCTTCTAGTAAATGCTAATGGCATAAAAAGTAGATTCGATTTATAAAGGACTGTAATTGTAGAAAACTTTCTTCCCGGTAAAAAGAGAGGAAATTGTATCTTCTATTTATTATCAGAAGTAATACAAGATAAAAAAAAAAGACAAGGATGGAATCAAATTTTATGCAGTTAATGACTACTAAAAACAAGTAGGTGTAATAATTACCACTCAATTGAATTTATCAGCAGACGCATTATTAGCAGACCTATTTTTGTATTCATATGAAACAGAATTTATTCACGACTTCTACATGAGCAGAAGAAAACACTTGCTATGACCTTCAACTCGACATTTAGATATAATGACGACGTATTGTCAATTAACGATAGTTAATTCCATTCATATATCGTTTTGATATATCCCAGTGAGCTTGAAATAAAAGATACCACAGATTCTGACACATGTGTTTCATGTTTGGATATTTTGCAAGAAAAAGACTTAAATAGTAACCTCCAACAAAGCTTTATGATACACGCAATGACTTCAATTTTTCAGTCGTCAACTTCCCTTACTTAATGTATGTAGCAATATACACTTATCACCTGCATAATTAAGGGGGTTTTGTCTCCCAGTTGATTCGATACGCAAGAGCATGCTCTACGTATGAACAATTTCTAAAACGAGGCAAGCTATTGACAAACAAGCTGATGAAACAAAAATATTAGCAGTCTCGTTTAAAGTCATCATTTTGTAAGTTCTATGGTCGATACATGACCTTGTCAGCAAATACAGTCTCGTTGATATTTAGTCTTAGTTAGGTTCTTTATCGTGCCAACGCCTACCGTTACATGGGGCCTCGATTTAAAGTCCTATCCGAAGGACCTGCAACTTCCATTTCAAAGTGCCAAGCGCTTGATGAAGAAACAGTTGCTACCTATTTTTTATCGACTTGGGCCAGTCGCGGCCGTGATTCGAACATACTACCTTCCTATCACGGAGCAGCGCTCTACCGACTGAGCTACCGTGACGGTTGTTTTATGGTCGATACAATGACCTTGTCAGCAAATACAACCGATCATTAGATCACGTTCTCCAAAGACTCGTAATTAAATAGTAAACCGCCGCAAGTTGCTGAGCAAGTTTCAACTTCTAGTAGTTCCTCTTCGCCCAAAGTATACAAATGCCATTCAAAAAGGATTCGGATTAAGTCGTCCTCTTTCTGTCGCACTCCTAGTTTGTCAACATAACGACTATCCCATTGAGACGTGCACTTAATAAATTATAATCAATGCTGACTGACGTTTTTTTATACTGATTGTCAGTCCATTATTTACACAATGAATTGTCTACAGATTTTTTTTCCATTTTTCCCGATCATGACAAGGAGCACACGGCGGGTGTGACCGGTCGGGAGGGGATGCTCACTCCTCCTTGGAACTGATACCACCTCTGATGCTTTTGTGTTTGTTCTGCTCCTGATTTGTATTGTCGCTTGACGTTTGAGCTTGAATACTGTTCGTTATCTCCATATTTCATTTTAACTGTTTTTGACTTGATTAATGCAATGCGCACCACTGATCCACAATATATTATGGATGATGTTTGAGCTTATCCCAGGGCAGAAATTGTCTCAAAGTTTAAGGAAAATCCGCTTCAACTCTTACTTCTGTCCTTAAAGCTTGGTTCAAGGTCACTGTAACCCCTTTGCAATGGGTGACTGTTCTTTAGGTGAAATTTAAGCCACTTTTGGCCAAGGAGGAGAAATATGCTCTAGTCATGGAATTTACACATATACTTTTTCAAAAAGGTCTTTTATCTGGAAAGTTAGAATGAAGTCACTGTTGAGTTTTTGCAAAAGTGTTTTAAGGGGAAATATAAATTCTAGAAAAGACTGCTTCGATCTTGACCTCTAATTTAAACTACGGGTACTATGGACATTGAGCTCACAACATGATACAAAATTGACCCGCTTCCATATGAGTATAAAGGCAAAAGTCCATGTTTTTCTGTGTGAAAAACCGAATATCTGTCCGATTAAAATATGAAATAGGAAGTCACAATGGAACTTTGAATTTAGGATTTTGTGATTGATTGATTGATTGTATATTGTTTACGTCCTATTCGGGAATTTTTCACTAGTACAGAGAAGTCATCATATACCGGTGAAGGGCTTCAAATTTAGACCTTTACTCGGCACTCAGGGACATTGAGCAGTGAGGGATCTTTATGGTGTCAACACCTGCCATGACACGGCGCCTCGGTTTTTAAGGTCTCATCCGAAGGACCCGCAACTTTCACTTCAAAGTGCCGAGCGCTTGGCGAAGGAACAGTTGCTGCCTATTTTTTATCGACTTAGGTCAGTCGCGGCCGAGATGCGAACTCACGACCTTCCGATCACGGAGCGAGCGCTCTACCGACTGAGCTACAGTGACGGTCTTAAGTTATTTAGTGGTAACCCAAAATTAATTAAAGAATGGAGTGTAATTATCTAGCTACGGCAAACCCAATAAATATGTCTCATCAAAATGTAAAATAGGTGTATAATGGCACTATGAAGTAAAATTACTGTAAAAGTATCATTACAATTTATTCAGTGATATAGGAAGAATGGCTATTCCCAAGCGCAAGTAATATAAATACCGACACCTACATACCCCCGCTTAAAAAGTATTCTTTAAAAAAAAATGGTTCATTGTAAATGCACTCCCATTACCCATGGTCACTCTGGTGGAGAAATAGGAGGCAGATAGTGACAAGGGGAGACAAATGTTAATACTTCGATTGATTGTTGTTTTACGTCCCGTTCAACAGTTCAGGAATTTTTCATATAGAGACGTCACCATATACCGGTGCAGGGTTTCAGATTTAGATCTATCCTCGGCACTCAGGGCCATTGAGCAGTGAGGTTTCTTTATCTTGCCAACGCCTACCGTGACACGGAGCCTCGTTTTTTAGGTTTCATCCGAAAGACCCGCAACTTTCACTTCAAAGTGCCGAGCGCTTGCCTGTCGCGGCCGTGATTCGAACAACCGTCCTTCCGATCACGGAGCGAGCAAATATACTTCGACAATATTAAATAGATATAGGGACCCAAAGAACGTATCCAAAATACAAAACTTACCCTGGATGTTTTCCACCCCCAACAACCGAGGGATTCCAGCTGTAGTGGTGACTTAACACACCAGTAGTGATCGTGGTAGCCGCAAGAAATACACCGCAGGAGATGACACCAATTATGTCTTTACTGTTAGGTATGAAATATTATGAAAAAAAGTTTTTTTTTAAGTATTTCTGATAGAAGAGATACCTGTATGTGGATACTATCTGTAGATATAGCTATCTTTTCTTCAAAATATTTAGGCCAATGGTGCATTAAAAGATCACAAACTTACAAAAACAATGGTACAATCATAAGTGGACTTAGAATGTAGAACTGCATGTCATTATTCAAATACCATGACCATCCAACACACTAAAACATGAGAGAGAAATATATTACTACATGAAAGTTATATTGAAAGTGTGATTTATAATTTTCATTTTTAGAAATTACTGTATTTATTTGAAAATCGTTAATTTTAGTAAATCAAAACGAGAAAATACATAAGTATCATCGCTTCAAAGTTGATTGATTGATTGATTAGTGCTCAACGCCGAGTCGGCAATATTTCAGCCATATTTTCTGTGTCAGCCATATTTAGGCGAAAAATTAGGTTATATGACCGGTTTTTAAAAGTGTTTGGTTTCTCTGGCGGCCCCCAATGAGCCTACTCTTACCGAACACCAGAGAAACGATCTTTTGCGTACCAGGAGGGTGGGGGTGCAATTCTTGACATGGGGCACCATTTAACGTACCATCCGACGGACTTAAACATTTTAAAATATGTTAACAGTTAGAATATAGATTTCTCTCTGTGTCCATCAACGAAATTTCTTTTATTATGTACCTTTAAATGTAACTGTAAAAATCAGTTTCATGTAAATAATCTAAAATTATATTCACATTAATATTTTTAAAAACTTCATGCATCCTTCGTACATTATTGAAAAGTCTACTTCAAATAGGCGAAAAATCGGTGCATTCTAGTTAGTTAGCAGACAGTCACATGATATACATTCTTATGGTGGCATATTTCTGCCCCATGTGTGCAAGTTATTTTTCTGTCAAATATGTCGACATGCAAGATAGATATGTTGACATGCAAGATAGTTATGTCAACATGCAACATAACTATGTTGACATGCAAGAAAATTGTAATCAAATAAAAATTATAAAAAATCTTCAAAATTCTCAAATATTGCCCACATGTGACTTCCAATATGCTAGATGCTACTTATTTATGACGACATGCAAGTTATTTATGTTGACATGCGAAATAAATATGTTGACATGCAAGTTATTTATGTCAACGTGCAACTTAGATATGTTAACATGCTACTTATATGTCAACATGCAACTTTTTTATGTCAACATGCAAGTTAGTTATGTCAACATGCAATTTGTTTTTGTCAACATGCAACTTAGTTATGTTGACATGCGAGAAAAATATGTTGACATGCAACTTAGCTATGTTGAGTAACAGATATATATATATAATTTTAAAAAAAGTAAATATCCAAAAATGAAATTACAAGTCGATGTGAATGTCTTAAGACACAGGAATGGAGAAAAATTTTACAGTGAATATGATCGATTTGTGATTTTATTTTGGATATATACTTTTTTTTTTTTTTTAAATATGATCGATTTTCAAAATAAGATTTTGAATTAAATGATCAAATTTAAATGCAAAAGAAATTATGTAATACACAATTTGAACATTTGTGCGAGCGTGCAGACTCGTTACTACCCAAGACACGTGCAATGAGGCACGGTTCTGTTTGTTTGTTTGTTTGTTTGTTGATTTAGAAACGGGACCGTAGATTATAAAACGTTTCTAGGGCACCTCTCTGCGGGCGACCTATAGTAATTAGTGTGTCCGTCCGTCCGTCCATCTGTTCGTCTGAGGTCTCTTTTAAAGGGTGTGCAGTGACCTTGAACTATGTTTTAAGGTCTAAGGTTAAGGTCATAGTAGAACTGTATCTGAAAAATGCATGTAAACATAAATAAGTTGCATGTCGACATAAAAATGTTGCATGTAGACATAAATAAGTTGCATGTCGACATAAATAAGTTGCATATCAACATATTTATCTCGCATGTTAACATAAATAAAATGCATGTTGACATAAATAAGTAGCATCTAGCATGTTGGATGTCACATGTGGGCAATATTTGAGATTTTTGAAGATTTTTTATAATTTTTATTTGATTACAATTTTCTTGCATGTCAACATAGTTATGTTGCATGTTGACATAACTATCTTGCATGTCAACATATTTATCTTGCATGTCGACATATTTGATAGAAAAATAACTTGCACACAAGGGGCAGAAATATGCCACCATACATTCTGTCTGAAGTTCTCGGTTAAATAAGTGTGCAGGTTATTTTTGAATGACCCATACGTATTCTTGAAATAATCACCTCGTCCTGACTTCTCAGGCCGAAGTCGGAAGATTTGTTAACCTTGTTTTCTGTAGCATATAGTTTACTTATATCATAAAATTCCCAATAAATTTGCCGAAGAGCATTTACATAAACAATATATTTCGAGTCAGTATAAAGAATTTTTAGAAAAATAATGTCATACTGAAGTGCCTTTTTTCAGCATTACAAGCCTTAGTGTTTCCAGGGATACCAGTATGACTTCGAATCCAACAAATGTCAACTCTTTTTCCTTTTTGAGTGAAATGATAGTACTGAATTAATATATTTAAAAATGTCTGGTTGATCAACGTTCATATTTTTTATAGATTGTAAGTAAGAGGGCGAGTCCGAAATATTATTAAAAAGCTCTCATTAAAAGATTTAATATATTCAAATGCAAGCTGTGTGGGTTTTGCTTCTGCTGTAAAAAAAAAAAATCTTGCTTCATTTGGAAGTTGTAAAGAAAAAACATTTTTATTCACTGCGACTGCTGCTTCTTTATTTTCGTCTTTAAAACCTTATGTGTAAAACTCGACTTTAGAACTCTTAGAATGTTTAATTTCGGCTGATTTCTGTTTAAAAGCAAAAGAATTTGTTTCCGATTTCTTACATTCAGTTAAAGATGTATATACATTTGGTTTAATTAATTTCCACGGCGGTATTTTCGACAAATTTGCAGGTTTTAAAATTTCCAAAGGTAGGGAGGAATCCCTGATATGTTTTCTAGATCTTAGATCAATTGGTTTTATACACACTTTTTTTATAGTTTGATCCTTTTAGAAGTTTATTATCCGAGCAAGTAGGAAAAAAGCGAGACATTTCGGTATAATATTATCTCACCAGTTTTGAGGAGCTATCAACAAAATTGTTAATGTAGAGGAGATTCCACCACCAGTATTTGGGACAGACTGCATCTGGTTTTGGTGCATTTGGTCCGTTAACCACGTGATGTGCAACTCCTACGGATACTGCTATCAACATCATGTATGCTGGTGTCAGTCTTCAAAACATGTGAACCAAATACGAAGTTTAATGGTGGATACTCGGTGCCATTTCATATTTCTTTGATTTTTAGTACATGTTGTAGAGTTACAGGTCATACGCATCATTTTTAAACATTTTATATCATCATTTATAACTATAATTACAGGTATTTATAGCCTTAAATTAATATCTGCTTGAAAAATTTTTAATATCCACATTAATTACACATTCATTTAATTATGCAAATGTCAGATAAATACACCAGAAGACTATTCATATGAAAATTTAAATTGCGGGTTGATTAAAGGCTTGGACACAATATGCATTGTTACTGTACTCATCGGAGACGCAAAATTCTAAAAAAAAAAAAAAAAAAAAATCGTTATTTTTAACGAAAGTCCATTGTTTGAGAAACAAATCTTTCTTCGATTAAAAAGCTTAAAGACTGACCTCCAAAACCGATGGAAATAAAACAGAAACCAGTTAATTCTGCCCTTCACCTTACTCATCTGTTTCAGAGTCAAATATGATGTTAAAAGTCCGCTGAGGAAAAAAAGAAAAGAGTTGGGAAATATAACACACATTTGGGACCATTTTTCATTTAAATTGGAAGAAAGTTTCCTCAGTTCTGTTAATTACATGTAAGTTTACCTCAGAACAAAGAACGTGTCAACAGAAAATAAGGCATTCAAAATCGCCTGAGCTGATCTTCTCTTGAAAAATTTTGATGCATATGGTCCAAAGTTTGCTTAGAAAAAGAATCACATACGACTGGTTAATTCTGGTGAGGTGAACTTTGTATTTTGATGGTTGCTAAATCACCGTATTGTCTTCAAAAAAGGAAATAGCTATACTGTATTACAAAATATGTAAAATTCAACAAAAATATGAACATTTTCTCCCATGTGTATATTTGACTCACATAAAGAAACAAGATTTCTATTCCACTTGATTATTTTGATGTAAGTTCAAAAATACCACTTGCAATACTGCATTTCGAGTGTATGATGCGAATTATATTTTGTAGGACTTACATCCAAACTGGCTGGTGGATGTGAAAGCCCACGTATGTCCCAGGATTACCCAGCTCATACTAAGGAAGCGTATACCATTCACCGCCGTCAAGCTTCCTTTTGGCTGCGTTGTGCTTAAGATCTTCTTGGCGTTTGAGTAAATTGAGAAGGATAATAGAATCTTTCCGAATACGCCTGTTCAAGAGGTTTGGAAAGGATTATGAGAGTATTTTGGGTCTTGATTGATTGATTGATTAATGTTTTGCGCCGAATCGGCACTAGTTTTTGGGTCTTGAATTTAGACGTGAATCTTTTTAAGTAGGTATTATAGAAATAATGATGCACTTTTAATATTAAGAATAGAATTTTTTAAAAAAATTCTTGGTTTATTGTTATTGCTGATATTGTACCGTCATCAGTTTTATCGTCTTTTTTGTCCTTTTCTACATCCGTCGGGTTTACGTCAAATGATTTCAATTTATAAATGCCATCGGAATCCATCGAGTTGTTAACAGACTTTTCATCCATTTTTCCGGATTTGTATTTTGGATACTGAACATTGACAAAGTCATAAAGGGTTCCAAGAATCATAAGAACAAGAAATACACCCAGGAGTGATCTACAAAGATGTTGACTTGTCTAATGGAAATGTTTTTGAAATATTAATTTTCGTTCATTTTACACTTAAGAGTTCCCATATAAAGGGAGTTAAACATGATATATATATATATATATATATATATATATATATATATATATATATATATATATATATATATATATATAGGCTCACTTACATGACAGCAATGTCCTTTGTTTCATACGGCCTTTCCTTCACACAGTCTACATTTGTTGCATAAAATTGTTGTTTTCCAATCGGAACAGAGGCGAGAACTTTCAAACAATGTTGGAATAAATTATTCAACATGAAGTTAGGGTATACATACATGTAATTTTGTTAAACCTTTAATGATGTTATTTATTACATCTTTAATTGATATAAGGTTCTGATTTATGAGCTAGTTGTATATATTAGTGATGATTAAGGAAAGAAAATGAAATTGAGTTAGATATACATTGACTAGATAAGAGAAGAATATCGCTGTTGCTGCACGATTTCGGGACACAAGCTCCAGCCTTGATAAGTCCTCCACCGAATATTCCGAGCAACTATTCGAAAAAAACAAAATTTAGGTTTTATTTGTAAATAAATCATTTGTTCGACTACTAGCTACTCTCTTTGTATATATATATATAGAGAGAGAGAGAGGGTGGGGGATCTTCGACATTTGGTACCTACCCCTCTCGCTGCTGGAGGTACAGGTGGATATATACTGACGGTACAATACTGTGGCTTAACAACAGGAAATGAGGAGTTTCTCGGTAGAATATTGGTCTGGTCAAGAACAGAAGAATCTGCAATACACTCGTCATAGGACCCATACCAGTTGATATTGACGTCAAGTATATCGGGTGGAAGTTTAGCAGATGCATCTAACACTGTAAACACAATTCAAAATTAATGAACTTTATGTACTTTGTTTCATGCTATAATATAGTGTGTTCCTTTATGTTATTTTGATCAATGATTCCTTTCTTTATTATGACAACTTATTTTAAAATATTAACATATACGGCGAACGTTTGATACAAATGTTAAGCATATCAATCGGAGTCGTACGATACAATAAAGAACATAGAACATCATTTCTTCAGGAAACATTTTCTGAGACCTCCAACTTTGTATTGTAGTACTTACTTTTCAAGGCCCATGACTGGCGGTTTGAAAGACCTGATATTGTATTCATTACATCCTCTTTACATATATCGGAGGATTTTATTGACATAATTTTCGAGCGCAAGATACTAAGAACGTAAGTTGCAATCGTTTCGGCATTTAGTCCTTTGCTTAAAATTCCTGGAAGTGTGTTTTGGCTTGGAAGATTTAGATTGCCTTTCGTTAGATTGGCAGCTATCGACTTGATGACACTTTGAAGCACCTTTGGATCTATGTCTTTCATTAGTCCCATAATATTTCCTTTCATCAAGTCCGAGTACAGCTGAATTTGTTGTCCCATTGTGTCATTTTTCGTTATTTTGCTCAATACACCTTGTAATAGTTCAGAAAGTTCTTGAGAATTAGTGACAGAAGCTAGTTGTGGAAATACGTTCTTCAAAATCGCCTGCACATTGTTATTACTGAGAACTGTATGGAGCATGTTGTTGAGAGAAGTAATATTACCAGCTGCGATATTTGCTCTTCGAATAAGTTTTTCCCTAGAAAGATTGCTTTTCCAGGAATTCATATCTTCAGATTGCAGAAATTGGTGCAGTTTATGCAGAGTCTGGTGCTTGATATGGGCATCAGTAACATGACTCGCATAACTGTCTTCATCCTGTGAAAGTGTGTGGGAAATCGATAATAACACTAGAATTATAACACAGCAATGTGTCCAAAGACTCGCCATTGTTTGGTTTTACATGTACTCCCAGTATTTCGCCTTGCGGTGTTTCTTCTAAATAAATGTAACAGATGTAGTTATATATTCACTTACATTCAGATATTGTATGTGTTTAATCAGAAACACGTGTAAAAGTCATGGATAATACAATTGATAAGGGGTAGACGAGGTAAAATGGAGTACATTTATGGATATAAATATATATGACATATAGTGTGCCTGTGTCTTAATTACGATCCATCACATGCTAAAATTATGATCACTATTACCGATTTAAAATGCAACTGAACGTTTATTTGCTTTTTATTCGATTTATGTTGCCGATTTCTGAAACGACAGACTACACATGTACCATAAGTATTTTCTAAAATGTAAACGACAAGGAATGTTTTTTAGGGGAAGACTATGTGATTCTAAGACGGGGGCTGGAATTTTTGGAATAAATAATCTGTCCTCGAAAATGTTGAAAATAAATAATCATACCTTAACTGGCAAGAAAATACATTATCTGTTCTTGTCTAGTGCTACTTACCCCCCCCCCCCCCCCCGAAATAGACTTTTGGAGTTTAATGCGTTTACCATTATTTTTTTTTTTTTTTTGCTTGTCAAACTTTATTCGATGAAGTGAAGAAGGAAAAAAATCTGTCCATTGTCTTGAAAATAAATGACCTACCCTTGATTGGCATGAAAATAAATTAAGCTGACTCGAAAAATTTTGCCACCCCCTTTTCAAAATCGAATGGTTGTCCCCCTGTGTAGACAAGTTTCATGAAACAAACGTTCAGACTGTTTAAATATTCACATGGAGATTCTTATTGCTATGACTACCGTTTTTTTTTTCAAACATTTATTTAAAACAAAAATGGGTTCAAACCTCTTTAAACAGGCGCGTTACAATGAATCCTTTAACAAAATCACGACAAGAAAAATTTACACGAGACTATTTTTTAATGTGTGCAGAAGTTAATACGAAATCATTTTTAAATATTTAAATTTAAGAATATAAGCTTTGTAAAACAGAAACAATAATATTTGGTAGTAGTCTATATATATAAAGATTACAAATAGAAATTTGCTCTACTTTCCTATTCTGACTCATTATATCACAACATAGGGCAAATAATCGGGACTGTTTACACACACCATCGTATCTTCCGATGACCTTTTAAAGTTATACATGTGAATTTATTTATATATATGTACTTGTTAAAAGAAGAAAATAAGAGATCAACTAGAGTATGTAAAAACTTTTTAAGAGGAAAGTATCTAATCTCTCTCTCTGTCTCTGGGTATGCTACAAGGAACATATAGACGAATTGGACGTGGGAAATGCCTATATACAAGGACTGCGGAAAATTCGCGTACTTATGTCATAACATTATTATACTTAACGTCATATTATATCCACATTTGGTAGACATGTTTTAATAAATTCGAATGCTAAGAATTTAAAATATATCATGACATATTTCAAACTTATTCAAAAGAATGAGTGCACGTTAGTATGTCATTTGGAACCTTTTCGCGATCGGCTATACATTTTAAGATAGATTTGAATTACAATAATTCGCTTAATTAATCTATGATCATTGTGCATTCATATGCTTTTGATATTTATGCCTTGAATTTTTTGTCATGCATATTGCTATAATTACAAAGTCATTGAAAAGAACATGTATAAACCTTAAATTCCGGAAATTTGAATTGGACCACTTTCAAATTTCAGGTATCCGCAAATAGGCGGAGAATTTAAATCGCATGGAAGTGGAATGAAAACGTTAGCACAAGATATTTCCGTATTCAGATTCTACACTACGAATTTAAATGAAGAGAGACATTGTGTAGTTTCGTGGTGCACAAATAATAAATGATTCTAGGGTTTAGGGCTTGGTTGTGTCTGCAGATGCCTGCAGACCATAATACAGAGGCGACATGAGCAGAGCTATACCTACTAATCGTGCACCTATTTGCACTGACAATACCAGGATTTCTTTCAAAATACCCCTAACGAAAAAATAGTAGAGTAAAAGAAGAATATATAATCTTTAAGACCTTTATAAAATTGTCGCAAAAATCATCCAATATTTTGAAGTTGGAAGTCGATAGACACAAGGAACTTCCAATGACAGACACAATGAAAGCGTATCAAACAGTAGAATGTCACGTGAGTAAAGTGATTATAATATCAATCGGGTCAATATGGGTTGACACTCGGGTACCTGTTAATTTAGTAGCTAACTCGACTGTAGTTTGGAAACTTTTTCAAAAAATAAGATATGAGCCGCAAATTGTCCAACATTGTCCTTTGGATATGTATAAGTTTAAGTCAAAATACACATTCTGTGCAAATGAGACGAATGGACAAGTTGCGACTCGATGTAAACAATGTCGTTGAAAACTGGTATGCATATGATTTTCAATAGAAATGTGACAAAATCGCTAGACCCCCGTCGCAAAAGCCAGTGTCGCTCGGCATTATGTAATACTTTCATGTGATATAATATATTAAACACTGCTCTTAAGACATTGTTTAATAACTCTGATACAAAAAAATTAAAAAAAACTAGATGAGATCTCGTTGCGAGCAACGAGAAGGTCTTCCGTTAGATTTCTGATAAAATCTTGATTGGTAATTTTGATTGATAAAAGAAAGTAAAACAACTTTAAATGTAAAAAATATTCATATCAATTCTTCAGAATTGTTTAGCAACTCATAAAGTGAAATCTATCAATTTCAAACAACTTCCGGTCTTTTTATTCACTTCTGGTATGACCGGAAGTAGTCAAAATGACTTTTAACTCTTCACTGAGTGTGGAGGAATCATCCCTCAAAGTTTCGAGGAAAAATGAGCATTTTTTCGACTACTTCCGGTTCGGAAGAAATAACTTCCGGTGGAAATAAAATGACTCGAAACAGTCTATTTGCCTCTATTAAAAACATTTCAATAAGAAAAAAATGAAAATTTGCATATTTTTAAACTACTTCCGGTGGACAACGGACGTCACGGCAACAAAAACTATACAGGTTTCTCAAATCTACGAGTCACAATCTATCATCCCTGAAAGTTTCAAGACTCGGTCTTTAACCTGTTTTTGAGAACACTCGCGGACAAAATGTCATTTTAAAAATGGAAAATTGGCCATATCTCGCGACCGGAAGTGATGACGATCAAATGAAAGAAAACGCAGAAAGTTAAGATAATTTGCCATATTTGCTGAAAGTTTCGTGAAAATCTATCGAGGCGTTCTTGAGAAATCGTCTGCACAAAATCGGTAAGAAAAAAAAATAATAGAAACAACAGAATCAGTAGAAGGTCTTCCGTTGGAAACGGAAGACCTTAAAAATAGGAAATTTATTTTTCTTAAAGCACCGGGACCCAACTCTCATAGCTTAAGTGCACTGATCCTTTGAAAGTGCATAATTGGGTTCACGGAGTTTAAAATTTAGCACTTTACAAACATTACATTCCCGATTTAAAGAAATTTTTTATCAGAACGTGGTGTGGAAGTGTCCCCGGCTTTACAGGTGTGTGAAATTCAGGTTTGGGCAAACCCTTGTCAATAGCTTGCCTCGTTTTAGAAAATGGGTATATTGCTACATCATAAGTTCGGAAAGTTGAAGATTGAAATTTTCAAGTTCACTGGGATACATCGAGTTGGCATATGAATGGAAGTAACTATTGTTAATTGATAATATATCGTCGATATATCTAAATGTCGAGTTGAAAGCCACAGCAAGTGTCTTTTTTTTCTCATGTGTAAGTGTTTGAATAAATTCTGCATCATTTGAATATAAAAACAGGTCTGCTAATAACGGTGCGCAATTGGTACCCATGGGAATTACGACAGATTGTTGGATGACCTTATCTTCAAAAACTACATAGATATTGTCAATAGAAAGCCAGGCATCCTTTTAATATCTACTTCAGAGTACTTGTGTGTACAATCAGTATCATTTTTAACAATATATTTTTGCAAATGACCAATGACAAGGTAGTAAACTTACGAATTCCATTTTTATTGGGAAAAAAAACCCAGCTGTCTATGATGTAAAAGCCTGTAAGTGAATCGGATGTTTGGCTGGCGAAAATGCATGAAATATAGTTTTTGAGTTTGGGTACCCCCCCCCCTTTTTAGGGCAGGTCAATCAAGAAGAAAAGAAAATAATCTTTCTGGTCAGAATTAAATAATCTGAACTGCAAAGGCATGCAATTTAAAAAGGAAATTCGAACAAAATTTGCCCCGCCCCTTTTTGAATCAAATGGTTGTCCCTTGAAGGACGTCTCCCGCGTGGCGCAGTGGTTAGAGCGTTCTCTAGAGTAGCGGAGTTAGGAGTTGATCCTTACGACGCGGGTTCGAATCCCACTGTGGGACGTGGAGACCGGTCCTTCGGATGAGACTGTATAAATCGAGCTCCTGTGTCGCAGTAGGTACTGGCACGAAAAAGATCCCTCACTGCTCAATGGCCCTGAGTGCCGAGTATAGGTCAAAATTTGAAGCTCTCCACCGGCAAGTGGTGACGTCTCCATATGAGTGAAAAATTCTCGAGAGCGACGTTAAACATCAAACTGAAGGACGTGTACATGTATGTATAAATAACATTCACATTTACTTTAAAAGCATTTGAAAGAAAATTTAAATCAATATTTATTTCAAACAAGTATTAGGAAATTGATATAATTTGTCTTTTGGATCAATCATTAACATTGTTGTTTAACTCCCCCTCGAGAATTTTTCACTCACATGAGACCCCAACACTTGTCGTTGGAGGGCTGCAAATTTATACCTATAATTAGGGCCACTGAGCAATGAGGGATCTTTTTCGTGCCAACACCTACTGCGACACAGGACCTCGATTTAAACGGTCTCATCCGAAGGGTTAGAATAAAATGTGTAACATGTACCGTATAACCCGTGTCGCAGTAGGTGCTGGCATTAAAAAGATCCCTTACTAACCAAAGGCTGTAGGTGCGGAGCACAGTTTCAATTTGCGGTCCACCACCGGC